GGTCTGTTGGCGACGCTGGTGGTAGTGGGTGGCGGTCAACGGGTGGACACGAGGAGGTGGTAGGGGTGAATGGGATCAGGAAGGAGGAGTGGATTAATTGATAATTTCGTGTATGCGGGAGCGCCACTGGCTATGATCATTTGCCCCGGAATATAGTGCACAAAGAAGGCGATGTTCTTGTCCGCTGGATCAGGAAAGATGGAGAGATCCGGCCCCGAACTACACGTTGGCTAGCGGTATTTCCCCGTCCAGGTATCTCCCACCATCGGGAACAAGCTATACGTTCCTGGTTGGTCTCCCGGTATGTGTGGTAGCGTAGTGAATGTAAGTTAACGTGTGTGTAAGGAAGGGTGAGGATAGAACAAGGGAAAGAAAGGAAAGATTGCTCCTGGTCCGTGGCCCGTTTGTTAGAATACTGCTCCGTCATTCGCCTGGTTTTGAGCGGAGAAACCACAGAAACATAGCAATCAGAGCAGCCGGTCGCCTGAATTCGCCCTAGTAAAGTAGCTAGTATCGAAAATCCTGCCATTGTCGACGGCGGGGTATGATGTGATAGGTGCGAGATAGAACCGTGGTGGTGGTGGTGATGGTAGTGGTGGTGATGGTAGTGGTGGTGATGGTAGTGGGGGTGGTGGTAGTGGTAGTGGTGGTGATGGTAGTGGTAGTAGTAGTGGTGGTGATGGTAGTGGTAGTAGTAGTGGTGGTGATGGTAGTGGTATTGGTGGTGGTGGTGGTGGTGGTGGTGGTGGTGGTGGTCTTAGTGGACGTGGTGGTGGGAGTGTCGGCGCGGCGTTATGTGGTGTCTCTGGGGTGGGAAGGCAAAGAACGCAGGGATAAGTGCAGCGAAAGAGAAAACACTGGGTACGGAATGGTTTGTGCGGCGAGGAACCAAGATGAATAGAACGCGCAGCAAAGGAGCAGCATTTTGTGCCCGAGATCTGAACTATGGGATAGAAAAATTTGGGAAGCAATTTTTAAGACAGTGATCGAAAATGAATTATTGTCATCTTATTGTATTTGCTTTACACATTTATGTATTACGAAGGTGTCTGGGTAATACTCGTTAGTGTATATTTTTTTAATGGATCAAAACTGAATCTTGTAACTTTTTGAAGATTATGTTTGACTTTTGTAAAGTGTGTAAGAATTGTCTTTGAAAGGTTTTGCGTCCTTCGGTTGTAAATGTATCTGTTTGAAAGCTTGTGTTTGTTGACTTGTTCATCAACCTAAGATGTACTTTCTTGGATACTTGGGGCATTTTCGAGAAACAAAAGGACATACTGGTAAACTTATTGCTCATCATTTGTTAGTTTTCAATCACTCTCTTAAATATGCTTGTTCCGAAAGATGTTTTTGACGAAATGGGAAAAACGAACTTATCCTTACCTCCCAATTAAAGTACATTGGGAACAGAAAATCTAAGCTTAAAAAGAGTATAGGTGATTGAATGACGTCTGTGTGCAATGAACTTTTTTTTCCTTGTAATTCAGTTGTGAAAATCTAAGTCGAACATCTACATCAAATTACACGCAGGCGTCGAACACAGCGTCAGAGCAGTAGTCACATGAAAAAACTGCATCTTTATGCACGTATTTGTTCCTAGTACTGTGTATTTCTTGCCAGATCTTGAGTGAAGTAGATATTTCAGGGAAGTAATACTAAAATCCACCGCATTTACGAGTTTTTGCTCCGCTTAATACTGATATACATCGCGTGTAGAACACGTGGGTAGACTCCGTGTGATTGCGGCTGCACACTTAAACTTCCTACACACACGCACTGCACGATGGACTATAAAACGAACGGGTAATGGCTGAGACAAATCCGAATTTTATTACTTTTTCGTGTACGTAATTGAGTAACTGCACGGTAAATTTATTATTTCCAGGGATGATTTATCCGGGATTTTATCATGTTGATTTATTGTCTCTGTGTGTTGCAGGCACCAACGATGTGTTCCGCTTCACCGGAAACGACTCTCACACCGACTTCTTCCGGCTGGTGATAAGGGATGGCAACTCTCTTCTCGTCGGAGGAAGGTAAGTGCCAATTGTTATGTAGATATTTTGCAACTAATGTGACTATCTTCCACAATATAAACAAAGTCAGCTGGCTGTACGGTTAAAAGTTCTTAAGTGACGACACATTTTTGATGCTCACGATATGTGACAACAAATGTGATCGAAACATTGACTTAAAGAAACAAGTTATGTACGTTCTTGCAATAAGACAAACAGAAAGGGAGTCAAATCCTTGTCTAATAGCACTGTGAAGAATAATGCTTCTTGATATTCTTTTATTGACATTTAAATGTTTGTCCTTCGATTTAATTATTCTGCACTTATAAATAAACTACAGCGAAGAATCAAAACGCGCTTGCCGTCAACTTTACAAATGAAGTTGTCTCTTTTTCAACCTCAGGTTTTTCTGGAATTAATAATTCTCTTACATTTTCCGCAGTGTGAGGTGGCGAATATTAGTAGCGAGTAAAGACGAATATTAGTCGTATTCTCAATGTATCAAAAACCACTGAAGAATGAAGTTTGAATGGCGCAATTAATATCTACATTAAAAACTGCGTCACGTAATTGTACCTACAAAACTCAATAAACTATATTTACCTATTTTCTATACGCTACTTGATCATTCCCCCATCTCGATCACGTTTTTGTCCAGTTTCCCTGATCCATTGGGCGAATGCTGAGACGGCCCCTTGTTTTGCTTCTGGACGTAAATGTTGCTTCACTATGCGCACGCTGTGTTGAACTCTCCTTTTGCTTGTAATTGTAGGAGAAGAGGTAAGGGCGAGTTACGATTTTGTTAGCAATGCAGAAAAATCAAACTTGCAATTCGTTTACCGATGCAAATAAGTTTTCTATAACTTGGGAGCGAAAATATCTTTCTTTGTCAAATATTGCTAATCTCGCGCTTTTTAAAATTTAGTTTTATTTATTTATCTTAAACTTTCACTAATTTTTCAACTATTTATAGTTAAAAAGACGGGAAGGGATTCTGGAACTTAAGAAAACATGCGCAGATGATCTTCTACCCCGTACGTCACACACAGTTTTTACTTTTTTTTTTGACTAAAAAATCTAATCTGCTCATTACAACACATGATCACGTCATATAGGATATATCCTCTGCATAACTTGCACGGCGTTACTGTACCAGTATAGTATAGAGATGAATGTCAGCTGAGTGCTGGCGCGGGTCGACGCAGTCGCTGCGACCTCGCAGTCCGGGCTTCGAGCTTCATTCGTGCGTGGCAGCGCCGGCTTAACGGTGGGTCGCCGCACTGGATCGCGGCTGCGCGCGTCCGCCCACGCCGCTCACAGGCACAGCAGCCCCGTCGATTCGCTTTTGGATTGTTACGCCTCGCCCGACGCACTGACAACTTTATTAAAGCGGGTCAAGATCGGATTCGGAGGCAATTCTCAGCGTCATCGCGAACAGCGGTTTTCGAAATTGTGCTATGTTCAGATTACTCGTGAAACTAAAGTTAGATCGTAGGGAGAATATGATATTTATTTAGTAGATGATGATAAACTGCTCTTGCATTACGTGCTTAATTATTTGAAAGAGTATATTTGCCTCACGTTGGTGTAGAAATATTACCAGATCCTAAAAACATTGAAAGTAATTAAATTAACAAGTTTTAATCAAAATAATTGAATGAAGCTCTAAAGTATGCTCATGTGGTTTTAATAATAAAGTTTCACATTTTTTAGCTCAATTAAATTAAAAGTCCTCAAATCATGTAAGAGCCTATTGAAATGAAGCGTGTAAGAAGCGATTCTGGCTGACTACAAAAGACAAAGAAGATTCGTTCTAAAAGCTTTTTTATATTCCAAAGTGTTTTTTTTTTGTGAGAAATACATTTTTTAAATTCATTTGTAGTAATGTACCAGAGTAAGTGTCATATCTTTTATTATCAAAGACATATGTATTTTAAAACTGAAGTAAGGAGATAATTATTCTCTTTTAACTCAATTCTGCATTTTAAAACCAGGCTTGTAATATTTTTTTTACAAAAAAAAAATTCATATCTAAGTTACAGAAGAATACGTGTAGACAGAACGTGTTCATTATTTTCCAAAGATAATTTACTTACCTCCAGCCCGTGCGCTTCATTATTAACAGGCGCATAGGGCATTACTCGGCAGGTCGCGTAATGAAAAGGCGGGCTCGTTGAATATAGTAGCGGCGGGAGGGCGCGCGGGTGTGCGCGCTGGGGGCTGTCAGGGCCAGGCGTGTGCGCGGGTGAGGACGGCAGTGGCAGCGGCGGGCGATCCTCGGCCGGGGCCGGATGCCCGCGCGTGGGCCCGCGAGGGGAAGGGGGAGGGGCCTCCTCTTGCTGCTCCGGGGCTGCGCGGCGCTCGATACGATAAGTTGCTGCGCGGAGCGAGAACATGCGCCCGGAAACGAGTAAGCAATTCGGAACGCGTCCGGCACGTGTACACTCGACGGCGGGCGGCGTGGCCTGCCTGTCTTGACCTTTCCTGCCGGCCCGCCCGCGCGGAGAGTCGTGCGGGGCGGTGGGGTGGCGCGGAGCGGTGTTGGGCGGTGTGGGCGCGCGGCGCCGATGCGGGCGGCCCCGCTCGGCGGGGAGGGCGGTGCGGGGCGGTGCGGGCGGCACGGTCAGAATGCTTAGGGGGCGGGTGGGGTTCGGCGGCGTACGTCGAAACTGTCCAGTCCGTGGGGTCGGTTGGAGCAGGGTGAAGGGCTAGGATTATGGGGGAGGGGAGTGAGTGAAGGACAGAGTGGGAGGTCTCCGCAGTAAGGGGCGATGTCGGACCTAGTCGCCCCGCCAATGCGTCAGGATGGGAATTCGCGGAGCAAGATGAGCTTCAGACTTGCCGTTCAGAATCTTGGAGGGCTTAGCGGAACAGTGGAATGTGCAATCACTACCGGACAATGCGAGAGTGCTGTGCAGAATGTCGCAATTAGGATGGAGTAACGAAACTGGGCGGGTCTCTATAGGGCACGGCATAAGTTAAATGTGCGACAATGTGTTACTTGGCAAACCGATGATTCCACAGTCTCTGCACTACGATTGAACGCAACTTGCAGAGATGAAACAATCAAGAGATGAATCGCTTAGGTTGTCTCTTAGGGTTAAATTGACGGTATCTGACCGGAAGACCGATACATTGTAAGTTTGGGAGAATAATGTGTATTTAACGTGCCGCCCACCCTGATAATGGAGATGGAGCTCACATGTGGTGACTGCTGTGCTGACTCTGGGGTGTTACGCACATGTTTTAATGTAATGGAAGCTTTCCGCCAATCCGGGTTTTCCACAGTCGCTTGCGGAATGCACTTTTGTATACACAGCTTGGATCTTCTCCACTAAAGAGAAATGTCTTATTGGTGAGTGGAGGAATGCCAAGCCAGGCTGTTGCCAATTTAAACCAATGCCATCAAAACTACCCACCACCACCACCACCAGCACCTTCATTACCATTGTTCCTTCCACGGCCAGCGACGCAGTCTCCATCGGCTCCCGCCGACTTCGACCTGCCTCTGTGTGGCGTATCGGCCGTCGTGCCCGCCCCATCCCCACCTGCAGGCCCTGCCCCGCCCGTGCCCTCTTCTCCCCTCTTCCCCGCCCCCCACGCCTTGCTCCTGGCGCCCGGGCGGAGCGAGCGCTGGGACTCCGATTGAATCGAACGCGGAATGCCGCGGCCAGGGGAAAATGGGCTCTATCAACAAAGAGCACGGCTCGCGCCGCTGATGCGCCGGGCCAGCGCGCGTGGCAGATTTCTTAAATAACGCGCGTAGATTCCTTTTCATTCGCGTTTTTTATTGCTCCCCGCTCGTTTGATATTCGATTTTTTTAAAAAATAAAACATTTATTCTGAATGTGGAATTCGTGTCTGTTTATTGCTTTTTTATTTTATTTTACGCGCTGATTTATTTAATGTTCATGCAGACCGGCTAACCGAATTTATGTTTTGAAAAATTGTGAATTAATTCCGTGTGTTATATCAAAGGATGTGCATTTTATTCTCTCCGATCCGCATTGATGCTTAATAATTAATAGGTTGTATTTAGGTTTTAGAACATGTATTAATATACTGTGTGGCTGTAATTATCATTATGAAGATATAATAGTAGAGTAATACTCTAAAGGTTGTAAGTAATGGCAACACATACACTATATATATTTTATTGGAATTGCAAATATAATTACTTTCCATTCCTTCTGTGTAATCTGAGACGAGGCACGCATCACGTGCTGAATATCGCGACTAAGATGTTCTGCGGATTACAGCAATGGATTCCCTAAGGCTAAAGGAGATGCAACATATTTTTGCGTTGGAAATATTTTTTGCACTTATTTGTGCAAATTTGTTTGGTCAGACGGAACAGCAGGCTTCATGGCCTGAGTCGCGCCACGAAAAATAAGGCATTTATTCAATTCATTCAGTCAATTCAATTAAAATCATGTTAATATTTATGACCCTTCATATTCTTGGAGAGAAATAATTTTTGATTGAGAGCCAGTGTTGCTCTTTCCCCCTGGCAAGTCCGTAAAAAAAATTTGACAACAGTTCATTGAGAAGGTGCCATTTGTTCTCTCATAACCGTCGTAGTTGACTTGGTCTGTGCTCCTACTACGTGAACTGTTGAGTTCTATCACAGATGTAGCTTCTGTTTATCCGGGAATGGGAAACCTGATTCCTGAGAGCGTTTTGAAACCAAATTCTAAGGTTAATTCTATAACTGTCCATCAATGTTCAATGGAAAGGGTTCCCGCATTCAATCTACCTCCACATTAGAACTGAACGGACGTGTGTGGGGAGGTACTGAATAGGTACAAGCGAATCGCACTAGCGCATCTTGCAAGTGTGCATTGCTTCATGCTTTCAGAGGCATGCTTTGATTTCTCATACGCGTGCAATTATATGCTGTTAGCTTTGTTCACGATCGCTTTTCTCTTGTGTCAATAGGCAAAATGTTCATAATTATTATTTCAACAGTGCAAGGAGGCACTACTTATAATCGTATTAGCTGCATTCAATCCTGTGTGCAT